TGATGTGGACCATTTTTAAAGTCTTTATTGAATTTGTTACAGTACTGCTTCTGTTTTATGTTTTGTTTTTTTGGCTGTGAGGCATGTAGGATCTTAGCTCCCCGAGCAGGGATTGAACCCGCACCCCCTGCATTGGAAGGCGAAGTCTTAACCACTGGACCTGCAGGGAAGTCCCTGTTTTTACATTTCAACAGCTCTGAAATCAGGATGTATCTTATAATCACTGGTGTGTCATACTCTAATTAGCACTGCTTTCTTTTTTCAGTGGTTGATAAAATAATGATGCATCTCATAATCCAGGGTGTTAAACAGATGAAATACAACACTGCTCTTACAGAGATAACATGCTTGTCAGCAGGATTCATTAAGGGGTCAAGGAGAAAAGTGAGGTAAGGCAGCAGTTGCTTTGGAATCAGATCAGGAAACAAAGACATGGGGTGTTTCATTTTCTTTCACCTTTCAGTTGCTAAGCATTACCTGGATATTTGGATTCTGCCCATTGATATCAGCTTTGGAAAGATCTGGAAAGTTTGGTAGATCAAGGAGAAAGGATCTGGGGCCATCTCTTTGCAATGAAGGGGGCCTAGCCTCTTGCTGGAATTGCTGTCTGGGGAATGGTTGGTGTGCAGCCTGGTGGTCCGAATGCTCCCCTGGTGTTTCTTTGGAGAGAGGAGGGCTGGTTTCCGATGTCGAGGCACTTTCCATGTTGAGGTTATTCTAAAACAAACAAACAAGCAAATGAACAAATAAATAGGAGAAGCATGATTTAGAAATGCCACCCTTAAAAATTCAGGACAAGGACAATTTCAGGGGCTGGAATTAAGCCAGGATGGTATTCCCAACTTGTTTTCCTTCCATGGCTTAGTTTTTCTATCTTCAAAAAGCTAAATCATCAGGAAATTTTCCTAGCCTGCTACTTGGGAATTTTCAGAGGGCTAATGTGTGATGAGATATTAATCAAACATCAAAGCATATCAACAGAAAGTGCTAATTTGAAGGAGACTAGATGCTCATTTAGAACTGGAATCAAATTATGGTTTCCTTATCACAGCTTCAGTTGATTAACCACTCTGGCTTGAGTTATAGCCCCAGTATCCAGTGTTTGTTTCTTTGGTGTGGGTCAGCAGAAGATATGACCAAACTAGGTAAAATACTCCAGCCAAATCATTGATTATTTCTAACCATCCTCCCATCCATCCATTTTTTTCATCCATCCACTCACTAACCTATTTAACTTTCCTTCCTCCTTCCTTCAATTCTTTCATTCATCTACTCATCCATCCTTCCATCCATTTATCCAACCATTCATCCACACAATCAACAAGTGTCAACCACATGCTAGGCACAGGAAAGCCATGAACAAGACAGACACGGGTCCTATTCTCTTAGAGAGTATGTCTAGTTGGGGGGAATAATAAATACACACATAAATAAGATCAGGTCAGAGAATGGTGGTTGCTAAGAAGAAAATGAGAGAGAGTGGTCAGGGCAACTTTAGATAGGTAGCTGGGGAAGACCTTCCTGAGAAGGTGACATCTGAAGTGAAACCTGAACACCTGTAATTATCTGGGGGAAGAACATTCTAGCATAGGGAACAGCAAGTAAGACAGTCCTGAGGTAGGGATGGCTTGTCTCATTTGAGAAACACAGAGAAGGCCAGTGAGGCTGGGATGGAGCGAAGGAAGGGAGAACGACCCAAGATGGGGATGAAGAGGTGGAGACAGGCCAAGAAAAAGCGACAAAAAGGCATTCTGAAATTGAATGTCTTTATCCCGGAAAGAAAAGTCCAAGTCTGTTGTTTTTCCAAACTAGCAAAAAACGTCCGTGTTTAGTTGTCACTAGGGGAAATTTTTTCCAGTGACTGAAGAGTGTAGTAGTTGCTGGACTTCTTTCTAAAAGCAGCCCTTCTTCTGCTCTCATTCTTCCTGGACCTCTTGTTGGATGTTTCCTCCATCCCTTCAGGGATAGCATTTTCATGTTTACTGGTGGAGGGAGATGTGGAGATAGAATTTCACCAGTGTTTGGGTCAGTGGTTACTGTTCTTGTTATTCTTGGGCGTGTTTGGGGGTTTTGGAGCGAATATTCCAGCACATTGCCTCCACACACACTCCCTGCCCCCTCTCACAGCAGCGTCTTTGACCCGGTCAAGGGGTTACACCTGGTATCAAAACACTCCCGACCTGAGTACCCAAGGTCAAGAATGGCCTGAGGATGAAACACATGCAGTGGGTAATGATCTTATTAGAGAGCTGACCTGAGGGGATGGATTTTTCTCTCTTTGAACAGACATGGGGCTGTGAGGACTAAACTCACTTGTGCAGAGACCATGTTTGTGAATGTTCCCAGAGGCCAAGAAGAGGCTGAGCTAGAAAGAAGCATGTCTGCTGTCTCTTCCTTAACATGTGCAGTTACAGCAGGGGAAGCGGGCTGCTCTTCATCATGTCTTTGCTTGCCCTTCTCCTTTGCTCAGGAGATGTGGCCAGGAGCAGTGTCTTTGTTCACCTCTCCTGTCACCTTTCTGCCATGTTTTCATCTCCTGGCACATCCTCCCAGGGGGAGTTGCCCTGCCATCCCCAGGCATTGCTCAATGCAACAGAGGCCAAATGTATTATGCTGAGATTATATTATCCAGCACATGGAGAGAGAGAGAGAGAGAGAGAGAGAGAGAGAGAGAGAGAGAGAGAGAAAGAGACAGAGACAGAGACAGAGACAGAGAGACAGAGAGACAGAGAGACAGAGAGACAGACAGAGACAGAGACGTGCTAATTCTTTCCTCAACATAAGACCTCTCTATCATAGCCCAGGGGAAGATAACTGAATGCAACTGTTCCCTTGTTTTTCTCCCTGGATCCTCAACAGTGTTAGTAAGGACAGTTGACTTCTCATGGAGAATTTCTTGCACAGGTTTTGGGAATCTAAGTCTCAGAAGGGACCCAGGATTTGCTTGTCCATGGCTTGAGGGATCCCCTGCAAATCCAGCCCTCACTTCATTGTAGCAACTGGGACATACTGTTTAACTGTGTTAAAGATGGAGCTCTTTTTACTTTTCTCTGTGATGAAGCACTCTTTCTACTATGAAAACTTATATTTTATTTTATATTTGGTACTTTTGTTTTTTGGCCACACCGCATGGCATGTGGGATCTTAGTTCCCCAACCAGGGATTGAACCCATGCCCCCTGCAGTGGAAGTGAAGAGTCCCAACCACTGGACTGCCAGGGAATTCCAGAAAAACTTGTATTTTAGAAGAAGAGATAGGAAAGGTATCTGTGCTGCTTATTTGGCATTTCACTTAGACGGCTGAAAAAACAAGGACTGAATATGATGGGTTTCTTGATCTGACTCTGGAATATTTCCTGAGAGGAGATACACCACCCCAGAGTGATCCTGGCTTAGACAGGGACCAAGAAAACCCCTTAAACTCTCTGTGGCTCAATAATCCTCCATGTAAAACAAAGCAGACGATAAGGAGAATCCCATGCTGTCCCAGCAGGATGGTCAAGAGAACTCAGGGTGGGTTGTGACTACGCTTGAAAAGAGAAATGTAGAGTTAGGGCAACTGGGCTGGACGATTCAGGCCTCAAGTGCCTCTGCCGCAAAGACGGGGGGGCTAAAGTACATTTTGGCTTGAATTATGCACACAGTTGTGGCATTTCTCCATCTTTCCCCAATCCTCATCCTCCCGCCCCTCAAACATTTGGAAGATGAGAATGGGAATAATAAAAAATGCTAATCACGATCTCTGAATATCTGAATTATTCTTGCATTTTTACAAAAACATATTTATCTAGAAATCTTGGCTCCCTTGAAACCGTGGCATGCCCCCAGACTGTTCAGAAACTGGAAGCTCTACGGTAGGGGGAGGGTGCCTTACAGTGAATCATATAAAATGACGCTCCACTTTATTCAATCAATGACAAGATTCAGGGAGTAACCATTATTTTGGTAATCAAGAATTTAAATCTGGGGCGGGAGACAGTAGACAGGGTCTGCTAACAAGGCAGGAAAACACTTCTTCATTCTTTCTCAAAGACCCACTGTACAGCTTCCTTGTAGAGGCCCCACTGGAGGTCATGGTTGATGCACCAAGCTCACTCACCAAGAGTTCCACTTAATTATTCTAGCAGAGTAAAGATTCTCAGGAAGGGTGGCTCTCAAAATAAAGATTTAAACAGTTTGCATGTTATTCAGAAAAGCAGACATTATTCTCTGAAGACGTGAGCTTTGGACAGTCCAGGGATTGAAGAAAAGAAATATCACCATTCTTTCCAAGGTGCTGCACGATTCATTTTGTTTAAATTCAAGTGACATGAGGGCACCTGCTCAGTTTGGGAAAATATTTCTTTACCCACAATGTGTCTTTGAGTTGACTTTCAATCTGTGACAATGTTGCAGCTCCGGGAGCAACGTTCTCTCTAATCTGCGAGCTGTGACTACTAATAAAGAGAGATAGAAGAACTAAAGCTAGTTAGTGGTTTATACGCATGCAGTGTTCCACTGCCAAGGAAGGTGACTTATGGTGGCCAAATTATCTAGCTGCTGCTTAACGCTCCCCATCTTTGGGCATAGCTCCTGTCCCTCCACTGTTTTACAACTTATTCTTATTTAAAATAGGAATAAAGTAATAATATTGTAAAATGTTAACAATAATAATAAAATTATAAAATAAGCTCCATGCTCATGCAGCCTGGTGTTTTGCCTTAGATGGCAGTAGTATTGTGGCAGATATTGCAGTTTCCTCCCCAATATCCATGCCCCACTTTTTTTTTTTTTTTTTTTACTCAGTGTTTATTTCAGGTGGCAACGTGCCTGGCTAAAACAACATGTCTTAGCATACTCTGCAGCTAGGGATGACCATGTGACACGGTTCTACCCAATGAGATGTAAGTGGAAGGTGCCTGATGGTACTATTGGACAGAAGGCAGAGTCAGTTTGCCTTTTGCCTGTTTTCCATCTTCCATTTTCTCCTGACTGATGTGTGGATAGTAGTGTTGGAAGTGAAATGATGCCACTGGCAAGAGGTTGAAGATATACGCCAAAGGTGGCTGAATGGAAAGATAGAGGAGCCGGGGTCCCTGATAGCATGGTAGAGCCTTCATACTAGTCCTGGAATGATGACCTCTGAACTTCTTGACAATATTGACAATACTGCAGCCCTAGTAGCAATGTTCCCTGTACGATTCTAATTTGAGAGCCGTGACTGCCAATACAAAGGGAAAAGCCCTGTTCAGCAAAGTGACTCAAGATTGGGTACCATCCCCAGCTGAAGGAAGTACCAACAGGGCATATAGTTAATCATCACCGTGACCTTCACAATGGCAGCCAGGTTATGGGTGCTCAGTTCTGCTGCTAATTTTCATAATATCCTTTCCCAAATCTGCCCTCTACCCCCTTCTCTGTATACGTATAGAATCTTCTATTATTTCAGCATCTATACCTTACATTTCTCAAACCTGTTACTCACTGGGTAATGTAATATTTCCTTTAATTTATCCAAAAATACTACTGTTAAAGTTCAAGGACTTTGCCCTCAAAGAATCCAGAGCTCCTTGGACAAATGGCTGATCCCAGAGCTTGGGCAGGGAAGTCAAGGTGAGTCTGGGATATTTTGCTGTGTCAGAAAGCCAGGAAGACTTCAGAGATTAATGGTGTCCTCTTGAAAGAACACAGGAGCCAGATTGAAGGGCCCACCCTGCACCAGGATTAGACAATTT